TGTACTTCTTCATCAGTTTCATTCCATACCCTCATTTGCTTTGTACACAATTGACTCAAATTTTTTCCTCATCGCCATTTTGTCTATTTGCAAACTTGAACAAAAAGATCAGAATTATGGTAATAATAAGTTAGGATCCAAATTAAAATCTTAAAATAATAGCTGTCCACAAAGCAAAATCAAAAAAATAATTTGTTGTAATTTCCTATAAATCCCCTGGCAGATGTACAATTTTGTGTACAGTTTGGCATTCCAAAATTTTGAGAAGTCCTAATTTGATACAGAAATCATTGTAAAATGTGTGAATAAGAAACAAGTAAAATGTAAATTTAGAAACAATTAAAACTACAAAAGTGTTAATTAATGCAATAGATAAATGTGTAATGGAAAAAGTTAAAAAAGCATAACATTAAAATTATAGAACGGTTTAATAGATTTACCGACCTTATTGAGAAATTATTTATGCTAACCATCATCAAAATACCATAATTTGCACCTTTATAAAATGTGACTCCGACACTTTGAAATCTCATGTGTTAAGTAGGGTCATATTTGCTATCGAACAACCTACATTTATTCCCATGTACAGAAAACAAATTAAACAAATAAAAAATTTGAAATTTCAGATGATACACCTTACAAAAACATATAGTTTAAATATAATAACTTTTCAAAACTTTCATTATTCCTATATCAAAAATCATACGCACAAATTTTTTCGTTAATCCAGAACAATTATAAATACACGGTTAACACAATACTCATTTAATGCTTTCTTCTTTCTCTACTTTTTCTAATTTTTATTAATTCACTTCTATAATAGATATTATGTCCATACAGAAAAGTAAAAACATTTGATAATGTTATTCAATCTGTCATTGTAAATTTCTAAATGTCTAAAAAAATAGTTCACCATATCATTCTTGATTATTTGTTATTTCTTTTCATTTCGTTCATTCTAAGCTATTTTATAATTCCATCAAATCACTATTACAACAAACTATTTCTTAATGCACTAAAAAAAGAAATTAACAAGTCTTGAAAAAAAATTTCAACAAGTCTTCAATCCCATAAAACAGCACTCACAAATTTAGCAAAAATTCATCACTTCCCTGCTTTCCAAAATCATGAAACAAATATAATTGATCTATGAATAATCAATTATAGTTTATCAAATATTAAGAGAAGTATGAAGTAAATACCAATTTCAAAAATAAAAACAAACTCAACAAATAGATTTAGCAACAAAATGTTAAAGATTATTTTTATAAGAGTCAATAATGGGAAGACAAAAGTGAAAAACAAAGTTCCGGGGAGTTTACCTTAGCCTTCAACTCGTCAATCTCCTGCTTGAAGTCTCTTGCCTCCTTCGATAGAGAAACTTCTTTCACTTCTTTTTGCAGTTTGATAGATCGTCCAGAGAAGGATTAATTATTTTACAAACAATTTATGGCTTTTGTCAACAAAAAAAAAATAGCGTCTTCCTTTCGTTTAAGAGAAATTTCACGAAACTCAGTTCTCTATAATGAAACCAATTTGTCATTTTGAAAGTTTTCTTTCAATTTATGGGTAGTTTATGTGATAAAATCATACTGATTTTTTTTTTTTTTGGTAGACAACTACTGCCTTCTAAAGTCAACAATTAAGACTGATTAAATTCATCAATATAAATAACATTTTTAGCCGCCACAAGAAACCCTTTTTTGCAGCGACAGTAACCGACTTACAAAAAGCAAATAAATCCAATAAAATAGTATCATTAATTCATTTATATCAATTCTCTTTCATTTAAAATATATAAAAAATACAAATGTCAGGCAACAAGAGGATTTTCTGTCACGATTTACGAAGGACTATAAAAGTTAAATAAATGTTTTTCCATTTTCAGAACAAGTTTTGCACAAAATCATTAAAAACTCTCATTAATGTGAATGACATTTTTAGCCGCCACAAAATACCCTTTTTATAAGCTACAATAACTCACTCACATAACCTGCGATTTACCTCCCTCACGATGCTCCAGGGCAGGGGTGGTGGGGGACCCTTAAGGTTAGGGTTTAACCTTTTTAATAAATCCAATAAAATAGTATCATTAGTTCATTTATATCAATTCTCTTTCATTTAAATAAAAAATGAAAAGTACAAATGCCAGGCAACAAGGAGATTTTCTGTTTCAATTTACCAAGGAGTATAAAAGTCAATAATGAAAGCTGAATAAATGTTTTTCTCTGGCATTTTCAGAACAGGTCTTGCACAAAAGCATTAAATACTCTCATTAATTCATTTTTTTAATGCTTTTTACCGGAACCAGTTTATCTACATTACGAAACCAGTTATGTGTGAATCCTCTACCTCAAGATGAACAATATTTTTTGCATTCTCTCTTTTAAAGGAAAGGGGATTCTTTCTCACAGCACACCTTCATGATTTTATATTTATGCATCATCCTCTATATGATACTTAGCAACCATAATTTCCCTATATAATTTTCAAAACATACAAGTGTTAATTACATGAATGATTATTGAAATTTGTCAAGTATTACTACTTAATAGCGAAACTTAAAAATATATCTCAATGGTCACTGAACTTCACCAAGTGTTACAAATTCATAACTGAACTCAAACATACATCATAATGGTTATTGAACGTTATCTATTCATCACTCAAGTGGAAAAATCTGTTAGGTTCAACAAACGGAATCGGCTTGAGTGATGGATAGGTAACATGTTGCATAGTTTGGTAATCATTAAGATATATTTTTAAATTCAATTATGAAGCATTAACACTCGATAATGTTCATTGACCACTGAAATACATTATTAAGTTTAGTTATTATATAGTGACACTTGACATTGTTCAGTAACTATTGAAATATATTTTTAAATTCAATTATTAAATCCCTCAAATCGACATTTGTAATAGAAGAAACCAAAGAAAATGAAGGAAGAAAAAAAAAAAGAGGAAGTAGAAAGTAGAAAGTAGAAAGTCGAAGACCTATAAATTGAATAAAAAAGAGAACTTTTGCTGATGTCCATTCATCAGGGAGAAAACGTATGTTTGATTTTTAGATAAATAGTATCAATACACTGTATCTCGAACTTCACATAAAAGATTGAAAGAGAAACGATAGGAAAAATGAAGTAAAAGTACACAAATGTTCAAATTAAGGCCAAGATAACTGAGGTCGATTTGAATTTTCAAATTTTTTCCTTCATTTTCTATAATGTTTTCTTTCATAGTTGAGGGAAAAAAAGATATTTTTACTACTTAATAACTGAATTTAAAAATGTATCTCAATGGTCACTGAACTTGCTAAGTGTTATTACTTCATAATTGAACTTAAAAATTAACTCAATGGTCATCGGACTATACGTCATGTTACCCACCCATCACTCAAGATGACGCTGTTTGTTGAACTTAACGGATTTTTTCCATTTAAGTGATGAATGGGGACACAGTGCATAGTTTAGTGATAATTGAGATATATTTTTAAATTCGGTTATTAAGTGATAACACTTGACAAAGTTCATTAACAATTCATGTAATTAACCCAAATATACAACCATTTAATTCCTAAAGATAATCATGAATCTATCGTATAGTCTACTCCAAGCACACATCTATCAAAATAAACGCATCTACGCCCCTTGAGGTATAGCCAAGTGATGCAAGGGACAGGAGTAAGGTTTTTTCACGCCTTACTGACAGCCGTAGTGTGGGGGTTTGATTCTTGAGACATAAAATTGAACTCCTTGTAGGTGCAGTGTACATGCAGCTCTTGTTCCCTGACCTGTTGGGTCACTCCCTCACAAAACTCTAGGGACGGGGTGGTAGAGGCTTTTAAAGTTGGGGTTCAATCTTTATTATTATTATTATTAAATAAACACGTCTATCAAAATATTGGTTGGCACTTTTGCCAATTTGCGCGAGAAATTGCCCAGAAATACCCACAAAAGAATCTTATAATTTATAATCTTAATACTTTGGCGGGTTGCACACTCCAATTTAAATGTTTACACACAAATAATCCACTAAAGCTACAAACATATACCATAGTGCCAATCCGTGATTTGTAGTAACACTTTCACCATTGAATCATTTCAAACAACTTTCTTCCAGAATAAAACGGATCCTTCCATCGTCTTAGATTCCATCTCCATTCTTTTACCCATGGTATTAAGAGTTACAGATGAAATCTGGAAGCAGGTAAGTTCTCCCACAACTACTTGTAATTGATGATCTCATATACATCAAATGCTACTAGAGTGACGGGCGACGATGGTCGATGCTAGCAAGGCAATGGACCCACCACCAAGACGAACTTTGAATATAACAAATTTGATAAAAAAAAAATCGCAGAGAGTGACGGGCGACGATGATAGATGCTAGCAAGACGCTGGACCCACCACCAAGGTGAACTTTGACTATAACAAATTTGATAAAAAATTTCGCAAAGTTTTTCCCATAAGTTGGACAATACCAACTTAAAAAGCAACAAAACTTACCATAAATATAGACATAACAGACCTGTTCCTCTGACACATACTAACCAAAACCACTTCTAAAATTTGATCAATTGTAATAACGTGTCCTGACACAATATTTAATTGGTGAATCATTAAATTAATCAAACCTACCATTACCTTTTTCACCAATTAAATGATATGCTATGTCACTATTGCTTAACATAAATTAAGCACCGGTGCTTAAAAGATCATTTCCGTATATGTGTGTGTGTGTGTGTATGTGTATATAATCCTATCCCATTTCGTTTAATTTCCGACTACAAACCACTTTCTTTCACCAAACCATCTAAATTATCTCCAAATCCACTCTTCCTTTTCAGATTATAAATTTTTATTCTCTGGTCACTTTTCCTCTCCAATTCACTTGACCCATTTTACTTCCGTTTCAGCCACTGTAACCATCTTTCTCAAATAGTCCATTCACTGACCCCACAAAAACAAATGCTTAGAATCCAATGCTATATAAGTGGATATTCTCAAGTCCGATACGTTTCATAAAATTATAAAATATAATACATACACTATCCAAAACATATTGTTTATTACAGACGTGTATGCATTATCAAATAAGATATTAATACACCTAGAAGACAACCTTCAGAAACCGAATTGGATCGCGATGAAATGCCTAAAAAGTGCAGCAACACGTTGATCAAACTCCAGGTTAGATATTGTCTTGAATCCCAGCCAACCATATTAGCTAAGCATTCTTGTAAAATCCTGACAAGAAAAAGTAAAATTTTGTAATATCTCAAGTTAAAATTGACAAGAAAAGTTTCCTCAAATTAAGAGAAAATACGGGATGAGTCAATTATTAACTTAATCAAGATGTGAAGATGATAGAATTAGTCGAGCTTAGATATTATCACAACACCTGGAAAATGCTTAAAAATCAAAATACACACAAACATTACGCGTCAATTAAGATGGGCTGGAATAAATGATTATTAATTAATGTATTTTGCTAATATTATAACTTATTTTGTACAAATTTGCATTGATAGTAACTTTATTTAAATTTTAGGTTTATTGTAAAATAACTTATTTTCTGATTTATATCTAAATGTTGTTTGGATATTTACTAATTTGTGAGAATCTTTTTTTTTTTTTTTTTTTTTTTTTTTTAAAAGATTTGTGAGAACCTTATTTTATTTTATTTATTTTTTTGTCTGAAAGGCTAATTTGTGAAAACCTCATAATATTCTTACATGAAAAAGGTGCATCTTGTTAATTAAATATAGACGATAAACTGATATGATTTTCATATTTAAAACTATAATTTTGAATTAATGATTCTGTAATTATTCTTATGAAGGGTTAACTTTGTGACAATTAGTAAGTCATGCTATCTTTTTGGATCATACGTACAAAAAGTATATTTAAAAAAATATTTATCGAAATTAATTAAAATAAAAGCAAAACGTTGTTTAAAATTAATGAGGTAACGGAATAGATACATACCTGTGAGTGGATAGAGTTTGATTAAACAACTTCAGTTATCAACAGGGCCATAGCCAGTATTAGAAGGCTGATCCTGGGCCATCCACCACTGCCCATCAAAGTATCTTACCAAGCGTTCAAGGACGCTGTTGGCATTTTGATGGTCCCAATCCAATGATTCCCACCATTCTTTGTCTTCTCTACATATCCAAATTAATATAAGAGATGGGGGCGGAGATGGTTGTCCATTGAGAAGCTGCAGATATAAAGGCACTTTCTTTATCTTTTTAATGCCCTCCAAAAGAATGTGCCGAATGGAATCACAAATAATCAACCCCCTGCAGATGCTCTTCAGTTGTGGCAGATTCCTAAGATGCAAAATAAGTAACCTTGGAAATGTGATATCAGCACTAATACTGTTTCCTCCTTCATTCTTGTCACATTCTATTATCTCCTCCATTTGTACACAGTTAAAGACCATCAACTCTTCGAGGTTACGAAAATTATGTATCAAACTCTGAGGGAAAAGCTTCTTCACTTTACAACAATCTCCAATCTTGAACTTTTTGAGCCAGAAAAATGTGAAAGGTGAAAGAGGTGCAGCTGCTTCCCACATGAAGAGTCCAATAAAATTTCGCAAGTTCCAAAGTTTCAAAATTTCAAGGCTTTGAAATGGGGCCCCACTAGATTGTTGTTCATTTGCAGACGATAACCTCATAATGCACTCTAATTTATCCTCATCTTCTATGATGCAGGACTTTAAGTCTCTAGCATTATTCAAAATTGGGAAATCATCCATTAAGCAACTACTCAAGCCACTATTATCAAAGATTAGTTCTTGAATATCGCGTGGAAGCAAATTCCCATCTTTGCGTGAAGAGGACTCCATGAGACTACCATCTTCAAACTGTGCCCGTTTACAGCTTAGTATATGAACATCATCAAAATGTCTATACCTTTTTGAGCTTAAAGACAATCTGTAGAAACTGAGTCGCTTGTCACGTTGTCGAGACTTTAGTAATCGATTGAGATCACGTGCGCTATTTAACCTGCCTTCTAATACTTCCAACTTTTTCAATGCCTCAACTTTTTCTATTGGTACACATATATGAATTGGCAATGAGAGCAACTTAAGACGTGAGAGTCTATGCAAAATCTCTGTCGGTAACACCTTTAATTTAGAACATCTCAAATATAGGAATCTAAGGTTGGTTAAGCTATCCATACCTTTAGGTACTTCCTCAATTCTAGTACCTGTGAGGTCCAAATGTCTCAATTCCTTGAGTTTTTCCAGGGATGGCATCGATTCCAGTTCATTACAAAATTTCAGCTTTAATGTTCTAAGATCCTCCAAGTCTGAAATAGAATTTGGCAAGCTCTGAATTTTAGTGAGACTTAAATTGATAGTGCGTAGATGACACATGTGCACAAAGAAACAATCTGGAATCCTCTTCAAAGGATTGCCACTCAAAATTAATGTTGAAAGTCGAGGACACTTGGGCGACATGCCAGGTGAAATTTCCATTATAGTGTTATCCATCAAGGAAACCTTATCCAAATCTTCTGTCCACTCTTGGATATCTGGTATTTCCCGTAAGTGAAGTCCAGCTTTTACCATGTATCTAGGGTTCTCTTTAGTGATCTCTATTGCCATGTCTCTGATCAAAACATGCATCTTCACATCTGTACCATTTGAAGTCTTTTCCAGTAAGCAGACTCTCTCCAATTGATTCAGTATTGCATGACCTTGGTCAATCTCGGCTCTAAAGCTTCTATAACTTCTCTCTACCAGCTGTTCTGAAATGAAATTCTCAATCAATTCGTCTCTTGGAATATGACAGTTTTCGGGATACAGGGAGCAATGCAAGAAACAACCTTTTAGCATTGTATCTCTTAATCGATCATAACTATATAAGAGTATTGGCAGAACCACATATTCCATTCCGGCTCGTCCCATACATGATTCTGCCAGTCCTTCGGATGCATCTCTCCATTCATGAATGTCACTAACCCTCCTCATGCTTCCAGCCAATGTGACAAGTGCAAGTGGCAAACCACCACATCTTTTTACCATTTTCTTGCAAATCCCTTCTACTCGTGGATGAAGTTCAACTCTGCCAAGTTTCTTCAAGAATAATTCCCAAGCTTCTTGTTCGGAAAGTGTGTTCACTTTTATAATCTTCTGACAACCTATCCAATGACAAACTTCGCTAGAACGACTTGTTATGACCAACTTGCATCCATTCATTCCTAAAGGAATACCAATCTCCTCTGCGTCAATTTGGTTCCAGACATCATCTAATATAAGTACAAATCTCCCCCTCTCCTTGAATGCTTGGAAGAGTTCAGCTGCCCTTCTCCTCTTGTCATTCTCACATGAGAAATATAGTTTCAAGACATGGGCAATATCATTCTGCAACTTGTAAATGCTGAACTCTTGAGAAACTGTGACCCAATAAACATGACCCAAGAATGTGGATTCCTTTAAAAGCTTATTATGGACATGCATTGCCAAAGTTGTCTTACCTATTCCACCCATTCCGTAAATTCCAATGCTTAAGACACTGTCATCCATTAATGACATCCAGATGTCAATGCTCTCATTAACCTCAAGAAAAAGCTCTTTAGGAAAATATAGCTCAAGAGCTTTAGATTCTGATATATTGTTTCCAACATCAATCAACCATTTTTCAACATTTCTCTTGCGTTTTTTTCCATGATTATATGTTTCGTGCACATCATCTTTCGGAACTTCCAGCAATAATATTTTTCTATTAAGAGTTTTCATACTCTCCTCCAAGTCTTGGCTTAGCCATGAGAAAACATTTTTAAAAAATTCTACAAACTGAGCCATGTGACTTCCTGCAGCAGTATTGTTATATAGTCAAAAAACCAATAAAAACTTTAGCTACTGCTTTGAGAAATATTAAACCGTGGGGCACTTATTTGGCTGAAAGAAAACAAAACGACGTCTCCTGCATTTTGTACAAAGTAAATCAAGAAAATTTTTCAAAACACTAATTTATTTCAAAATATTTGAACTTTTACAGAAAAAATAAAAAAAGAGATAATTCACTATTATATTATTTAAATTTAAAAACTATTAAGTTACTCTATTGACAACGGACTTGGTTAAGGTAAGAGGTTGGAAAGCATTTAGAAAAGCAATTGTTGAACCAATGGACTAACAGCGATTATTGTTCATTTTATAATTGACTCCGCAGAGTTTAAATATTATTATTCTAAACTACTTACAGATAAAGTAAACTAACACCTAAACAATCAATTTTATTCATTTAGAGACAACTCAATTACTGGCTTATTTGTCATAGTTTTTTTCTTTTTTTATCATCTTTAAAGGTTAACTTTATAGAAATTTAAAGAGTAGTCATTACTAGAAGATACACATAACAACTTGGCATTAGAGTGCTATGATTCTCTGACACAAAAACAAGGGTCAACCAAAGATATGAAAAATAGATAGACAAGATTGAGAAGAAAAATATAAATACCTAGAAGATAAAAGACAAAGCTAATAAAACGGTAATTGAAAAATTAAAATAGCTACCTGAAAATTGCTTCAGATTAGTATATTTGACCTTTAATCACTTCCACTGAGCCAACACTCAAAACACTTGGGGATGCAACATGGAACAAAAGTAAGAACCAAATATCAATTAATTATTTATTTATTCAATCAGAATTAATGATAACAAATAACAATGACATGATTGAAATGGATAAATTAGGAAGATAATATAAATGAGATGTAAACCGAAATCCCAAAACAAACCGGGCAAGGAGCGAATATCCTATAAAACAAGTGGGAAATATAAATAAATGCTTGCCACGTCAGCACACTCTTAGCCGACAAGAATTTATACAAAAAAAATAATAATAATAATAAATAAATAAAATAGGGAAGAAGAAGCACGAAATTATGAGAAACGGCCCAAACAGTGAAAAAAAGGAGGCAAATCGTAGATCAAGAGTACATAAATTGGGTTTAATTTGTAATAACAATAAATAATATACAAGTTCTTGAACATGTTTAGAGAGAGAAACTGGGAATATGGGGGTGATTAAAAAAATCAGATTAGAAACGTTGGAACTACCAGGGATAGTGGATCTCAGTGAGCCGATGGCGGTGAAGCGGTGGCGCGCTGCCGTGGACGGTGGGTGAGAGGGTGGGTGAGAGAGAACGTGAGGTTGAAAGTTCTTAATATTTGAGTGAGAGAGAACGGAATAAGGTTGAAAAGATCTTAATACTGTAACGTCGGCATGAGGGACTTTATAGCGAGAAACGTTGTTTCATTTACCCTATAGATCTTAAAACTGTAACAAAGGCATGAGGGACAATAATACAAATGTAATTTCAAATAGAAGTCTTAATTAAAATTCTAATAAGATTTTTAATTAAAATTTAAATCAAATTAGTTTACATCTAAATAATATGTGAAATCCTAGAACTTGTATTACAATTACAATTACAATTACAATTACAATTACAATTAAATTTTGTAAACTTTATTATAATTATAATTAATGTCAAAATTTCTATAATAATTAGAATGAAGTCTCAATACTTTATAGAGCTACCATAGAGATCTGATTGAGAATATATTATACAAGCTTCAAGAATTAGATCATGTCTAGTCGACCTTAGACTACCCAATTTAATTATTATTTTTTGTTTTTTCCACTAAACGTAAAAGACTGAACTCTCAAAATATATAATATTACCGGAGCCAATAAATCTGTAATATTTTCCTTTTACATGCCATATAAGCAACAATGTTTAACATATGCTAAGTACCGTGACAGTGTACACTATTTAATTGGTGAATCATTAAATTCATAAAACCTACCATTAACTTATTCACTAATTAAATGACGTGCTATATCATCGGTGTTTAGGAGATCATTACTGTATATGTATGTATGTATGTATGTATGTATGTACACACACACACACATATATTCACATCCGAGATTCGATAACTAAATTATTATCACTAATTTAAGCCCTTGTTTGTCTTCCATTCTTTCGATAATAATTTTTCTACATACTCATTTTCAACTACACATTCACACAATAAAATATTTTACACATAAATTTAATTTTTTTTAACCACACATTTTCTAAAAATTCAATAATCCAAAAAATGTTTTTCCAAAAAAATGGCCACCAAACAGGAGTTGAATAAAATCATAGATGTTGAAGTTTGGTTGTCGCTAAATATTGAGCTCAATTTTTAACAGTTCTCGATACGAATTCATGTTCTCTACTTCACTCGTTCTCAAGTTCTCAACTCATCAAGATTTTCGATCAATTAAATTGATCTCATTCATTGGCAAATCAAAGAATTATTAAAGTCACAAAAATATATAATCCCATCAAAGAATTTAAATTAAATACACAACAATCAAGTAGAACTCAATTCTCCGCATGATCATACTATAGAATTAAACTTGACATATGGAAGTTAATGTCATGTATTTCATCAAGAGACTACAAGACAACTAAATGTAACTTGGCAAGGGCAGTTAAACTCTCCTAATTAAGCATTCAAGGAACATTTCAAGTTGGAGATTTCAATTATTTCAACCATAAAAGGGAAATATTTAAAAAAAAAAAAAAACAGCAGAACACAACATAAATTATATATATTACAAAACAAAAAAATTTGAGGTTTATATCAGTGACAAAAATCTAAAAGTAATGTAACTTATATATAAACAGTTACATAATGGTTTACATATATATAAGTTTTCAAAAAGAATGAGAAAGTTTATTTTTATTTGGTTGAAAAAATTATGACTCAATCATATATCACTATATCATGTATATGTAAATCATGATGTAAGCATGCCTAAAAATTGGTCGAAATTAATAACCTTCAATTTATTCTTATTTTCTTATTCAACATGTTCTCTTAATGGTAAAGGTTTAGCATTGGACAATCATGAAAGTTGTTCCAATAACTAAGGTCAACTCAATATGGATGCTTCTCTAATTCAACAAACTTGTAGCAACGTTATAGTTGCATACTTTTGTGTGGATCTGTATGACATATACAATGATTGATTTTCATTTTGATCATAATCAAGTCCAAAATGAACTATGTTTCCTCTTTGAACCAAATGACAATCACTAATCATATGCTCGCTTTCATTTCATCAAGTTTGTGTAATCTTAATAATTATCAGACGTGAACCAAACAATGACCAGGGTGAACCTTCGAGTCATTGACTTTGTGATAGAAAAATTGGTTTTGAATACTTAAATCCCCTCAACTTCTACATAACTGATAAGTGCATTTTGAACATTTATTTAGGTCATATTACTAAATTTTTATGCAGTCGAATTATTAATTTCTACTTAATTTGTGTTAATTTTCTTTTATTTTTGGTTATGGACTCGTGAGATGCAATAAAAAAAGATGAAGTACAAATTGGCCATTGGAAGGAAATTTGAAGATTAATATTCACATAAAGAAAAATTGAAGGGCTTGAATTGAAATAAAGAAAACATGGGGTGCACAAATAAACTTCTATCAAGGACCAAAATATCTTACCTGGGAAGGTGAGATCTTGGTGAAAATAACACTATTCTAATTGGGCCTTGGTATTTTAATTGGAATGATATTCAAGGAAGAGGATATTACATAACCCCAAATGTTTAAAGATTACAATTCAAAAATCAGGGATGGAGTTTCATTATTTACAAATCAGGTATCAAAACACACCTTACCCACCCATCTATCAAAACCCTAATTTATTTCCATAACTCTCTCTCTCTCTACATCTCTTAATACCCATCTTTTTCTCTCTCACAAGGCCTGTGACGACTCCTCTCTTTCCTCTTTATCGAAGATGCAGCCTTGCACCACTGTTGCGAGATACGGCCTATACCTCTTCAACTCTCTCTCATCCATCACCCAAACAGTTGCTCTCCCTTCCACCAAACACACGGAGCAGCCTGTGACTATCGCAATGCAGCTTGAAGGGGCACCGAAGTTGTGTACAACAATGCTGTGTCTCTGGATGTAAGAGATGACCTATGTGCATTGGATTTGAGCGGTGAGCATCACGTCACCAATGAATGACGGGAAATCTAGGAAAATTAGGTCGTGATTTGTAGTCGTGGTAGTTGTGGCGGTAACTAATAAATTTGGATTTGATTTTTTTTTTTTTTTTTTTGGGGGTGGGGGTTGTGGTTTTGGGGGGAGAGATGACCTATGTGCATTGGATTTGAGCGGTGAGCATCACGTCACCAATGAATGACGGGAAATCTAGGAAAATTAGGTCGTGATTTGTAGTCGTGGTAGTTGTGGCGGTAACTAATAAATTTGGATTTGATTTTTTTTTTTTTGTTTAGGTGGTAGTGGTTGTGATTTTGGGTGTGGTAGTGAGTGGGGGTGATGTTGGCGGTGCTGGTTAGGTGATGTTGATGTTGGTGGTGAAGGCGATTTTAGTGTTTATGTTGGTAGTGACAATGGCTGTGCGTGTAGCTATGGTGGCGGTCATAAGTTTGTGGTGGTGGTGATCGATCCACTGCTATGGCGATGTTTTTGAGGTTATTGTTGCTTGGTGGTGCATTTCGAATTGTGGTGTTGGCCTTACGGTGATATGATTGAGATTGGTGGTGGTGGTGCGACGGTAGTGGTGGTGCCGCGATGGTGGTGTTAATGTTGTTGGTATTGTGGTTGTGGTGATGGTGGTGCCATATGGTACTGTGGTGGTAGCGACAATGGCAGGGTGAGGGTGGTCGGTCGTACTGGCAGGACGGTAGTGTTGATTGCGATGGTATGTGACCCACTATTTGGTGTATGTGACCAATTATTTGGTTATCTATGATCAAATATTTAATTATGACCTAAAAATTTAAATATATGTAACTAAAAACTAATTTTTAACAAACTAATTTGAAAATCTATTATTGACAAAGAAGTTGTTACCTATAATATTTTCGATTTCTGACCATCAAAGTAACCTATGAGCAATTAATTTGATAATATGAAGTTGTGACCTACAAGTACACATCTGTCGTCATGAATTGTAATTTTGTGACCTTAATATATTTAATTAATAAACTATTTTTAATAAATTATTAAATACTTGATTTTTTCATTTTAAACTTAATTTCTTGAAAATTGATTTGGTACATATTTTGTTGATATCGATCTTCAAATTCATTTAAGCAGTACCTAATCCCCTTTACACCAACTTACCGGATTGAATATTTAGGTCAGCTCGAAAACACCACCATCGTAATTTAGGCAGACATCATGACTACCGGTTTCTTACACCCTGTCAAATTACCCAATTGGGTAGGCACACTTGGAGAAAATGGCGTTAGCACCACCTAATTCTACCAATCAACCACCATGGTTTCTCTACCTATGACAAGTCATCATTACTTAAGGGAACAATGAAAAGATGGCAACTGGCCTTATCATCCAATCAAATGACAGATCGGTGGCGCACTGTTCGAGCTCATCACTACGACTGATTTGATTGACATGACATAATTTTGGCTAGAGGCTTCACATAAATAGTAAGAAATGCTCCCCATTGGGGGCGGGCTTTTAAAAACATACCTTGTACAATGGAACTAAGGGGAGATCAATACAATCTGTCATTTTCCAAAAAAGTTGGCTCACAATAGTCTTTATAATTGTGCACATCAGTAGATTGGCACTAGAAGGAGGGACTTCTTGTGAAAAATAACCTCATCATCCCATAAAAACACAACTAAAAATAAAAGTCATGTGCTACAGTTTCATATTGTGAAATCAATCTCACACTCACCCAAATGGAACTGATGCCCCACGAAGTTTCCCAGGAAGGCAAGACCAAAATGGGATGGGCAACTTACAGGTAACCATAATGAGAGAGGCCATTGAAAGGCTAATAAAGGCAGTTAGTTGATTAGAACGAAACCAAGCCCACACATTCCCATTAGATACTGAAGTGGAATCTCTGACTGGGACAAGGGCTAGACGACTTCCACTAGAAGATCCTTCCACTTTTCCAAAGCATAATCTTCCAAAAGTCGCACTGACGAAGTCAGGAACCAAGCCCCTGCGATGGAACCAGTCGCCAGAAACACTGGGAGTGTGTTTGACAGATTAGGCTCCCCACACCCTGTAACCCCTGCGCAAGAGCTTGCTGGACTAGACCTAAAGTGCCCACTTGAACAAGAAGGACCTGAAATGAACGCCCTGAAAAAGCGCGTCACCGACCTTGAATCTAAAAACAAAGGAGGGGTTGAAGAGTATCTTACCAAACGACACTCCCTC